GATAACAAAATCAATTATTTAATCGATTATTATACCGATAACAATATCCATTATTGTATCGATAACTACACCGATTATTATATTGATTATTATATCGATTACAATAGCGGTTATTTAATTAATAACAGTATCGATAACAATATCGATTATTTTGTCGATAGCAATATCGATTATTATATCGATAAGAATATCGAGTTTTATATCAATACCAATATCGATCTTCCTCCTCATCCTTTTCTTCATATTTATCTTTATTTTTGCATATTCCTCTTCACCTTTACCTTAAAGTGTTTAAATTTACTTTGATCTTCGTGTTTGCCATGTACCTCTGGCATCTTTGTTTTTGTTTTTATTCTCAAACCGCTAAACCGCTGAGAGCCATTTCCATGTGCATTATTCCCCTTGAATTTGACAATTTACTCCCAACCAACGAACTGCCGCTAAAAACGTTTCACTTCATAAATTCAAGAAATGCCTAAGATGAATATTTTTGGGAATTGCTTTCTCTTTCATTGAGATATAAATTGGACAACCTCTATAATTAGCAGGGTGATTTCCACCGCAGTTACTGCACTTTTTAGATGTCGGGTCCATTTTTGGTTTCACACATTCTTTAGAAGTGTGTAAATCCTCACAGATAACACAGACACCAGGTAAGGTGCAGTAGCGACGTGTGTGACCAAATTCCTGGCAGTTAAGACTTTGAACAGGGCCTCTACGCTTATGGGGTTCTTCACGGAGATCTTACGATGTAGAAGATATCGCAATTGATATATTTGATGCACTTTAACCGCCTGTGGGTTGAAATCATTATTCATATCAGCGAGAATGCTAAAACGATTATTCTCCGCCGATGTAGATGTACCTGAAGTCACTACTTTAAAAATTTTATTTTTTGGACTTTGTTCTCCATTTTTTCGGGTGTGCGCTTTCGCTTTATTAGTATCGATCTAACCCAGTCTGAACAGTAGCATTTTGTGCTTTATTTTCTTCTTTATTTGTTGCCGTCGAAGTATTAGTAGAGGCAGCTACGCTGTTGTCCACATTGATCACTGCTGGAGAGCAAGATGGTGCTCTTTGCTTGGCTGCGTCTGGTGTTTGGGATGGAGTGTTAGCAGTACAATAGAGAATTTACATGATGCAATTTTTCAGGCAACTTTTGGTTGAAAGCAACAATCGCCCTTTCAACTAATCGCTTTCAATGAAGTTGGTCGGCAGCATACTTTCGATCAACTTTTGATTCAACTAATCGCCTGTGAAAGTTGAATCATGTAAATTCCCTTTAAGAGTTTTCTTTAGCGTTGGTGTTGCTGGTTTTGCTTTTTGGGCTGCATGCAATAATTGTCAAATATGCATTTCTTTTGCCTGCGCTTTGGATTGAGTGCCTGCGCTCTTGTAGGGGAGCGCCCTGGACACTCATCTCTCACTTAAGTACCATTTGTATTTTGTATGTAAACAATTATTTATTTATTTTGATATACATAATAGGTGCGTTCGTTTAAAATCTCCAGTAAAAACCAACCAACTGCCAAATTCCGGCGAAATGTCATCTGTTCTCTCATAAGAGAAAAATATCCCAAATAGTACGCGAACAGAAAATTTGCAGAAACTTGCAAGTTAGATGAACAGCTGATATAATTTTTGTTTACATTCAAAAGAGTAAAATTTAAAACGTACGAAAAGCCATCACAAAGTGTTATACTGACACAGTTTATTGATTAAACAAATAACTACTTATTTCTTACAAGTTTAATTAGTCCCATTTTGTAATTTTTAACTTCCAAACCATCAAATTCAATTTTGTGATTTGCGTAAATGCCAACCAGCTGTTTTTGATCAGCTGTTTTCCTGTTGGCAAATTGCTGTTGGCAAAAATTTTTCCAGCAGAAACCAGCAGCTTCCCCTCAAAATGAAATGTCACTTTGCTCTCTCTCTCTTTCCCCTACTATGCAAGTTTTTTGCGTACGCGAACGCAAAAACTTGTAAGTTTTGGTTAAACATGAACAATTAACAGCTACGCGAATAGGTGCGCCTATTGTCTTATTATTTATTTAGATATTTTTCGCGATCACGCTTTGATTTTTTATACTGCTGAGGGCAGTTCGCGACGACACAAAACTGAATATAGTTTAGTGTGTCTTTCGATGGTTTAATATTCTTAGTTAAACGATAAATATGATTTTTTACGGAGCGAATAAAGATCACGTCAGTACTCAACCGCAAATTGCCTTTATTACTGATGAGAATGTTTGGTTTTCAGGTATAGTCAATGGATTTTGTGTTTTGTACAGACATCGAGCTTCGCCGAAATTGCACTTATTTTGTGTTTTGATTTTTAATATTTCTTTTTGTTGTAAATATTTTGGGCATTCTCTGCAGAAGCTGGGTATAGTCCAAAACAATTAGCGCAAATTATACGTTGACACCGTTCATGAATGTTGGGAGGAAGGTTGCCAACTTCACAAGTAATGTTGTTGGTACAATTCTTTATGGTATGACCGAGAAGTTGACATTTTCGACAACGCATTAGAGTGGGGAAATATTCCTCCACCTTGACCGAATACCATGAAACATCGATGTTGGTTTGGTTCAGGAATGTTGGGAGGAAGGTTGCAAACTTGGTATGACCGAGAAGTTGACGTTTTTGATAACGCATTGGTGTGGCGAAATATTCCTCCACCTTGACCGAATACCATGCAACTTCGATGTTGGTTTGGACTTTGTATAAACTACATGTAAAACCATTCGACCTGTTGGGACATTTCTTCCATTTAAATTTTTGGAAAACTTGTATACATCGACAACACCTTGTGATTTAAGGCCTTCGAGAATCTCTTGTTCTTCTGGGTTGGCGAGGTTTTTGTCAAATATTGTTCCTTTGCAGTTGTTAAGAGTTGAGTGTAGTTGGCGCAAGCACCCCCCGAATTTCCAAAGTTTCATTGTAAGTTTCTTTAAAATTAAAATTTTGGGTATCTTCACAACCATTTCGGTAGTTTTGGTAAACTGCTGGTTGTTCCTCGATAATTTTATCAACTGTGAACGTCCTTTTCAGCTTACTTTTGTTGTTCTGATAAACAGACATTTACTTAAAAAAAAAGGCCAAATAATTATTATCTTTTAATATTTTCTCTTAGTTTGTACTTAAATTTAGGTTTAGGTATGCTTAGCGTTTACAGAGGTTTTGTAGAAAAAAACAAAAATGAAATCATCACTAAAACAACTTATCGATTTGCAGAAGACACTCGAAGACTATTGTTTAAATAAACAAGTAATTTTTTAGCAAATTACAAAACTAACTTCAATTTTCATGTAAAACTTCAGGATTACCGTTAATTTCTTCATGATCCAATAACCGCATCTAAACCAAATTACGATGGGACCACCTCTGAGGTACTACCTTTCCTTTAAAAATGAATTATCGAAATTGGTTATGCTGTAACATATGCACATTAAAAAAAATATACGACGAATAGATAACCTCCTCCTTTTTGTTAAGTCGTTTAAAAATAATGAAAAAATGGTGTAAAGACGAAGTCGCATTTTAAAATTAGCATGCAATTAAGGTACCTAACAAATTTGTATTTTAACTCTTCAATAAGTTCATAAGAAACTTTATGCAATATAATTTCCTTTGTAGGGCTCGGTAAAACTCGATTGTTATAATAACAAGTAAGCAAAAAAAAACAACCGACTTCAATTCTCATATACAAATTTAGAAGTACCGTCAATTTCTTCATGGTCCAATGATCGGATCTAAACCATATTAGTATGGGATCTTCGCTGAGGTACCAGAAAAAGAATTATCAAAATCGGTTAATGTGGTCCAAAGTTATGCGGTAACATACATAAAAAAATATTCCGATGAATTGATAACCTCCTCCTTTTTTGAAGTGGGTTAAATAGAGAAAAATTACAGAGGTAAATTATTATAAATTTTTAATAGATATATTTTAACATTTCTAATAAAATTTACTTTAAAAAAATCTCAGTCCTTCCTAGAAGTATATTTTTTTTTTTTATAAATTTGTTTTTCATCTATGGTATATGGGCGTATTACTCAAGTTTAAATTAATTTCATCACTGTAATATTACTTTCTATTAAAATCTGGGTAATTTTGATAACAAACTTGACCTGTTGTTGTGCCCCATTTAGTTTTTTTTTTATTTTAGTAAAGACATTTTAATTTGTTCCTTTGTAAATTTTATTTTATTATTTCTGAACAGAAACTTTCAAAAGCCCAATAAAACCGTAATGGTTTTATTTCAATTTCCTGTTGGAATCAAGGCCATATCGAAATGATGATTTTATTTCCAAGTGCAGAGGGAAATATAGCCAATTTTTCTAAGGGTCACGGAAAACAAAAAAGTTCTGCGGATTAACAGGGAATATTTAGTTAGTACATAATGTTTCCCGAAAAATAGTAGATGTTTTCAAGAAAAAGAGGAAACTTTAACTCTTGCTAAAAAATGTGTTGATATGGAGCAAATATCTTTTGAGGTTTGACTATCAATTATGAACAAATTTAAACCTTTTCTCTGGAACAGACAAACCATGAATATATATACATATTTTTGAGAGAGAGCATCATGCTTACCACTTTCGTCGAAGATAGTTTTATTATTTACACTCAAAATCAAATTGCAGGTACGAAATATTTAACCTTAAAAAACTTTTTCTTAGATATCAAAGCTCTAGACCTTTATAAATTTGTAGTCGCAGTACTAAGACACGGCAGCATAACACTCTATTTCAAAAACATCCCATGCCTATTCTTTTCCAAAAATGTGGTTGGTCTATTATTATTGTCTAAATTTTTAAGGGCATAAATACAGGATAAACTATCTGTTACAAGATATGTCGGAAAACTGTTGTTTGCTGAAAATCAATTAATTAGTCTTACATGGATCATGTTTTGTTTTGGTTTGGTACTAAGTGAATTGCATGTCAATAATAAAACTGATAAAAAATAAGAACTGATAAATTAAATGTATCTTTACAGACATTTCATCTTTGGAGAATTTCGGCACCAATCTTTCGCTTATCGGAACCTTTGATTCAATACGTGTTGATATTGTAGTTAGCGAGGCGGGTGACAAAAAAAACAAATGCTCCAAATTGAATAAGAAATCAAATGGTGCAGGTCGACAGTCGATTATTATAGATACGCCGTTATTTTTATGCGAACGTGTAGGCGTTGAATTGGAGGTGTTGAAGAAGTCCGATGGTATGGTTGATCAAGCGCGTCAAAATGTAATTTATATGTCGCGACGACAACTAAAAAAGCACACCAGTACGGTTATAAATTTGAGTCTAAACATACGTTATATTTCACAGCAAGTAAGTAAATACATACATATATTGCACAATAATCCTAAATTCAAAGAAGTGGAATTTTTTTTGTTATCGAAATTTAATTATATTAATTAACTAAATTGAATACATATCGATGCCGATATGGTAAGAATTTAAGACGACATGCTATCACTAAATCTAGCTGGTCTTTGTTTTAGCGTGGTAAAATAGGCAATACTTTGTTGTCATTGCTAAATAAACGCTCTGCGAGTTAAAAATAGGTTCACGGCCCTACATAAATGCTTATATGGCTCAATTTAAACGTTTAGATTTTTATGTAAACATCGCAAGAGATATAAGTGGAGACCCAGCTTTCATCAATCAGAATAACGATTAAGACAACGAATGTTCTAGAATGTCATGTAATGTCACAGACAATTAGTCAGGTGGTGGTTGCTCAAAGTAATTAACGTCACCTGCTGCCTGGCAGGATACCATACGGATATATGCAGGCGCGCTACTGAAGGGTGAAAAATGCACGGCAACAGTGACTTAATTAGCTAAATATAGAAAGTACTTAGATAGGCTAGGACAATTATTAACACCAGAGAAATCAGCCTACGTAGAAGGGTCATTCTCTCAGATATATCTCCTTTTCCCTGTAGTGAAAACAGTTAAGGACTTGTTATTCCCGTCAGAACATTTGACTTCCGAAGAAGGCGTATTATCACAGCGTAAACTATGCAGATAGCTTAAAATAATAGTTTTAGTAGCACCGGACCTGTCGAAATCTTTCGACACGGCCAGTCAAATAGTGGTACTTGAAGACATTGAAAAATATTCCCAAAACCTGAAGCACCATCTTCCAAACTTATACGAATCAAGTAAGAGATTCTTCTCCTCGCGTTTTCTTGATTTTATTCGTCAATGACTGCACGATTTCGCAAAATTTCTTTGTCAAACTGTGTTTCAAAGAGAATGGTTAAAGTTGCTTTACCAATTTTTTACAAAAGCTTTTATTTAACTGCAATAAATTATTTCTAACCAACTTCCCGATGAGCTAGAGACTTGAAACTTCACACTTCACTCAGAACACGGTGAAAATGAAATCTTCTTCTTCTTAATTGGCGCTGTAACCGCCTAAGCGATTTTGGCCGAGTCCAAAACAGCACGCCAGTCATTTCTCTTCTGTGCTAACTGACGCCAATTGGAAATGCCAAGTGAAGCCAAGTCCTTCTCCACCTGGTCTTTCCAACGCAGAGGAGGCCTTCCTCTTCCTCTGTTACCAGCATCGCGGCCCGCGTTGAATATTTTCAGAGCAGGAGCGTTTCTGTCCATTCGAACGACATGGCCAAGCCAGCGGAGCCGCTGAATTTTAATTCGCTGCACTATGTCTATATCGTTGTA